AGGGTCGGAGTTGCTACTGAAAAGGCTGAAAATGTGTGTGTGTGTGCGTGTGCGTGTGCGTGCGTGTGTGCCTGTTCTTTATGATAGCTGAATTGAAGTAATGATGCAGTGATTGTTCCTGGACTTTTACAGGGCTCAAAAAGAGTCTTAAGATCCAATGAATATGTTTTACCGCCTGGAGGCTTGATGGAGACTGATCTGGAGTTAACATTTTCACTGCAGGTAACTTTAACTTTCTTGGGCAGAAATAAAGAATTGTGCCTCAGTAAAAGCTTTTTTTGTCTATTTTGAACGAATGTATTTAAAAATAGCACTTCAAGTAACTATATTATGAATTGTTAAACAGTGTTTGTCTTCTATTTGTAACCTATGATCGATATTCTTAAAGCATAATTCTTGCTATATTTATTCTGAAATAAGCCCACAGTGTTCAAAGGATCTTATTTTCATAATTAGTTTATTCTGAGCACAGCTTGAGGCTATTTTCCAATCACATTTGTGCTCTGGTTATAAAATGAAGCGTAAATGAAGGAATATGGAGGCTGCTTGAGATATCTGGTATATTCCTTCTTTACCTCTCTATGAATGTTTCACCAGAAGCATCTTAAAAATGGTATTTCATGTGAATACTCTTTCTTTACAGTATCCACATTTCCTGAAAAGAGATGGTAACAAGCTCCAGATCATGCTGCAGCGCAGAAAGCGGTATAAGAATAGAACTATTCTGGGCTACAAGACTTTGGCAGTGGGCATCATTAACATGGCTGAGGTAAATGGAACCGGAGAAAGATTGTAGCACAGCTATCCGGGAACTGGTGGGGAAGAGGATGCTTATTTAGGGTGTAGATTTAGGACCAGAATGTAATACTGGTTGCTTTGTACATTGTCCAAGAAAAGCAGGGAATGGTATTAGTCTCTGCTAGAGGCCTTTTGTATTGTATTCTCTACTCAGGTCATGCAACACCCCACAGATGGAGGGCAGGTTTTGGGCCTTCACAGCAACATCAAGGATGTGAGCATCCGGGTGGCTGAAATCAGCATCTACTCACTTTCTAGTCAACCTATTGATCATGAAGATGGAAATGTTCCCTCTGGTCCCAAAATCAAGGCATCTGGTAAGGTTTTGTTTATAAAGCTTCAGCCTGCAGGGTTTAGTTGAGGTTTGCCCCAAATCCTTTGGTCAGGTCTGAATTATATTGTTATTCCACCCTGAAGTATTTTTTCCTACTTCTCCACAATAACGTTAGTGATCCTTCTTCTAACGTGTGGCTAAATACTGGCATACACTCTCCAAAATCATTGTAATTGGCCCCAGTTTGGATACCTTCAAAGTGGAATTCCACAAATTGTAACTATGAGTTACCTCTGTTACCTGAGGCAGGAAGCATTTCAGTAGCATGCGCTTGGGAACACAACCAGAAGGGAGAGAGCCAAACACTTCATTGAAAAACTAAAGAATGTGTAGACCAGGGGTAGTCAACCTTTTTATACCTACCGCCCACTTTTGTATCTCTGTTAGTAGTAAAATTTTCTAA